TGGTTTTTACTATCAACAATGAAGTCTGATCACATATATACGCGTGATATGCAAAGCATAATTCACAATATTGAACTCCCCTATGTAAATAAGTGGAATCGAGTAAAGGTTTCTATTGACAGCAAAACACGGGAAATTTATTGTGGAGTATATGTATGCAATCTACAAAGTAACTTAGAAAACATTCAGTTCATGGATCCTCAAAGATACATTGATCACAACTTGTGGCAAAAGATACAAGAACAACTGGAAGATTCAAATGAATTCGCAGAAGATGTGAATTTGGACATGGATTGTCGAGATATTTTTTCCCTTCAATTCTCTTTCTTTTTGTGCTACCATTGATATTCTTTCCAAAAAATGCAAGAATGAATAAAATCATAATCTACTTTTTATTTTGGTTCTTTTATAAAATATGGTGAATGAAATGGATATGGATGCAGTGAATTCTCTTAAGAAAAAGTTAATTGGCTATCCTTGTTACACTTAATACTATGGGAGCTTAGTGATTAAGATTAGATTGCCATAGCTTGTTCCTTTTTGATCAAAACTCATGGAGGCATCAATCAGGGGTAGATTCTCATTTATCAAACCATCTAACATAATCATGCTAGGTAACTTAACAACAATGGATTCAACACAATAATAGTTATATATATATATATATATATATATATATATATAATCATGTATATAAATGCATCAAGTACTTAAGCTACAAATCCCAGTCCAAATTACAAATTTAGTCGAAAACATAGAATCAACCATAGAGGAATTCAAAGCTACAACACAAACGGAATAAAAAATGTAAATCATAAAGGAATAAATGTAAACTTTTTTTTTGGGTATTTTTAATAAAAGAAGAGAATAAAAAATGCAAATTTGGATTTTAAGGAATCAATAATAAGAATGCTTTTTGAAAACAGAATGTAGTTATCATTGCTTAATAAAAATATGGGAGTTTTAAAAAAAATACACCAAGTTAAAAGCAACCTCGAGCACAATTCAGGTCAAATAAACTTAACAATTGATTTCTCTAAATGCTAGATAGTAATCAAATTGTTACAACACCTTTTAAAATTACTTGATGTGCAATTTAAATTGAGTTAGTAAAACTTATTTTCCTCTTAAAGAATGCTAACAGAAACACTCAATTACAATACATATTAATCATCAAATCCCAAGGAACAAAAAATCGGAGCGGTCAATAAATTGGTAGATGTACTGGTTCAAGGGTTAATGGATTAGATCGGGGTTAGACCGGCTTAAACTAGTAATAATTAAAATAATGTAATTTAATTAAAATACTTTAAAAAATTCCTATTCTAATTATGAAAAAAGTACTATTTAATCTTTTTATTTTCCTTTTTTTCCTCTCTTTAGTCTCTCCCTTTTTCATAAATTCATAGCTCATTAAATTTTACCTTTTAGCTTTACTTTTTTTTATCAGGTTTAAATTTTTACTTTTATTTCTCATTCTCTCTCCTCATCTCCTACATAAGAATGTGAAAGGCTTCACCTTTTTTTTTCCCATTCTTTCCTCCTTCCACACTCATCCATCAAATCATATCATTTGACTAATTGACTTTCGTTTTTCTCATCTCTCTGCACTTTTGCAAACTCTTTTATATTCCCCCAGTGTGAGGCTCCCCTCTCCCCTCTCCCCTCTCTTCCTCCTTACTTTCAATTAGCATAGGGTCTGTTTCTTCTCCCCTTTCTTTCCAACAACACGAGCTGCGTCTTGGAAGAGGAATATTGAGATGAAGATACAATAGTGATAACCATGTAGTAAGAATGATGGATATGGAGCAAGAAATGAAGAGTGAAAATGACGACCCCAAGGGCCAGAGAAGTTCGATTGGCAGACTGAGCTTCGAATCAGCAGACAGGCAAACAAATATGGAGCTTCTTTTCTTCTTTTTTCTTTTCATTTCTTTCTCCAGATCATATTAGAGAACGACCAGATTTGAGCTTTTTTTTTTCCCTTCTCTTAATGACAGAGAGATGTTGTTTTACGCCAATGGGAGGGGCAAAATCACTAAACTGGCTAACTCAATCCAACTGGCGGTTTACCCTATTTAACACTGGTTTTGATCAATTTAACTAGTTCAATACCGGTTTGAACATTGCCTGGTTCATCTAATAAACTAGACTGGATACCAGACTGGTTCACCGGTTTTTTGGTTGAACCGGCCGGTTTAGTCCAATTTTTTCTTCCATGTAAAATCCAACAACATGCCAAATAAAACAATCTTCACAAATGCAAAAGAATTATATATAAATTCAAATTCTAAGTAAAACAACTCAAATTAAACTGTAAAAATCTAATTAATAGAAATTATAACACATAATCTCAGTTTTCAACCCAAATAAAAATATTCCTAACATAAGAAAAATCTAATGAAGTACAAGAAAAAATTAATTGAAAAACTAAATACTTTCTTAATTGAAATTCTAAGCTCTAATTACTCTTCCATTTCTTTTCTTTTCTTTTCTTATCTTTTCTAAATCTTTTTTTTCTTCTTTTTCAGCTTTCCTTTTCTTTTCTATTTTCTAAAACCTGTAAAAGATAAATTGAGATAATATCATACGATCCAAAATCAATTATTTAAGAGGAGATAAAAATATGATAAGATTCTCTTCTTAAGCTCTAATTTCATGTAATCAATATTGAATTGAAAATATCCATAGTCAATACAAATTATTTCACTTTAGTTGATGAAAATCTCAAAAAAGATATCAAATAACGTATTAAAATAGAGATTTGTTAGTATAAGACCAAAAACAAAACCTTTGCAATACCTAAAGACAAAAACGATTTTTTATACTCTAATATCCGAACACAACCTATTGAGCAAAATGTTGTAGGAGATGAGATGAAAGAAAGTTTTAAATATCAAAATCTATGGAGATTAAAATGGAAGCTCTTTGGAGTTCACTAATAGTGATGGGAAAAATGCTTCATCATCAATAGTTGCTTTCTTCTTTTTCTAGGTCTTCTCTCTTGGGCACAAGAGCTTCAAACAACACAAGAAAACACTTCTCCTTGATTATTTTTCAATGCTTTTTCTTTCTACACTACTAGAGTATTAAGGTCTTTTTAACCTTGTTATTATTGCAATCATGTCCCTTTGAGACTTATGAGCAATTATCAGGTTTTTAGAAACTCTTTTATTGTATTTTTTTCTTGTGTGAGACCTAAGTGCAATTTTTCTTTGAATTGAATTGCAACGTGAATTGAAGGCAAAAAAAATTACAATGTATATGAACGTCGGTTTTCAGGGCTTACTATTATAATTATTTGGAAGAATTACAATGAAGTTTTAAGGAAAAAAATAATTACAAAATAAGTTCCAAAAATTATCATATTTTATTATAGAACTTGTCATTACAAGCCGTTTGGGTCATTATTGAGACTTTTTAGTTATTATTTTTCTTTTTTAAGATCTCATTGTAATTCTCCCTAATTATTAATTGAGGAAGACCAACACAAGGGTAAAAGTGGCATGTCTATTTCTTTGCATTTTCTCTCCATTTGTGGAGAGAAAAATTGGAAAGAAAATGGAGTACGTCTCACACTCCATTTTTCCCTCCACTTTTCTTTTTTTTTTAATTTTTTTTTCTCTTATTCAAACCCATGAAAACTCATTTTTCTCTCCATTTTTCTTTTTTACTTTCTTTCCTTCCTCTTTTCTTTTTATCCAAATAGGAAGTAAATTGTTTTGTATATTTAAGCCAAGACTTAGATAAGAAGCCAGTTTTTCTCCCTCCTTTTTCATATGGTTTTTTTAATTCCACAAAAAAACAGTTTCAGATTATTAAATCTCAAACAAAAACTTCTTATAAAAATGTGTTGTTATTTGTATTGTCAAAACCTATTAAAGTGCTATTATTAATTTGAAATTTATGATCCTTTGGAATGGCTTATGAACAAATTTTCAATCGTGATTTACATAATACAAGATGAATATGTAAGAAAAATTTTATCTCGATTTGTGTAAAATATGTTTAAAGTATTTTTAGCCACCAATTCAAACAGTAACTTAGTAATTTCAAATTTTGTTTGTATTTTGCCCTTTTGTTAAATATGTTTTTGATGGTGGGTCCACGGGATGAAGAAATAAAAACCTGCGTTTTGCTTTCCTGCTATCATGGCCCACGTTTAGGGGTGTTATGGGACAGGATGGGATCGTCCAGTCCCTTCCTGATAATTGAGACAGGATGGCTTTTCCGTCCCGTATTTCATCCCGTCACACTAGCGTCCCGTCCCAAACGAGACATAATTGGGACGGCACAAGGACGTCCCATCTCTTTTTTTATAATTTTTTAATTTGAAAACTAATTATACAAAAAATGTAAAAACTTATAATAAAAACTAGGGGAAATTGCAAAAAAAGACTTTGGAATTGCAAAAACGCAGATAGAGACCCTTGACAACTTCAATTTGACAAGAATAATATGCCCTGAAGTTGTCAAAACCCAAAGTGAAGTTGTCAAGGGTCTCTATCTGTTTTTGCAATTCCAAGGTCTTTTTTTGCAATTTTCCCTAAAAACTATGTGAGAAAAATAGATAAAAATGACAAAATACTGACAAAGAAAAATGTTTTTTTTGTAATCATGAGAGACAGAAAATAAATAAACCTAAAATATTTACCATAAAAAATATCATATAACTCATACAAAAACAACTTATAAACAACTAAAAAATAACAATTGATAAATATTATTATCAAAATACTATTACAGTGGTAAATAAAATAAATATATAACAACTAAAATTAAAGATAATATATTGAGACGGAACTGAGTCCCGTCACATGTCCTGTCCCATCTCGAAACAATTTTGTGCCATCCTGCTTTTATCCGGTCTCAGAAGCTTTCGGGACAGGACTGTCCTGTCCCCAGTAGAGGGACGAGACTCTCGGACGGGACACACTTGAATCCACCTACCCACGTTTTCTTGACTCGTGCGCATTTTGCTTCAAACGGTCTCGTATTATCTCGGGGGAACAAGCCGAGTCCCAGTTCGTCAGCCTCTCCTCTCCTCTTTCTCTTCCTTGCACTCACTTACTCAATCCTAGAATATCGTTCTTCAGGTTCGTGAATCCTTTCCCATCTGGCCTTCATATTTGTAATTCAGATCCGCCTTCGGCTTCAGGTTTGTTTTTCCTTCTTGACCTTAATATTTGAGTTTTTGTTGGAATAATTTTCGTTCGCATGCGATGCCAAATTATTCTCATCTGAAGTGAAGTCCAAGCGTTCCATATATTTTTATTTTGATTTGGCGAACTACTTCTATAAATCTTGCGGGGAAGTCTAGACCTATCCGTTGCTTGTTATTCATGTTATAGATAAATTAATTTTGAGTGCTGACACACCTTTGTTCCTTAGATTTCATATTAACGGTTCAAGTGCTATAATCTCTTGAGTTTGATTGTTTTGATATCCCCCGTTTCATTATCTTTATAATCGTTAGAATTTTCGGAATTGTGTTTATCTAATTTATTCGATCAAATGGAAAGATCAGTTTAGTGAGGTTTTGTTTAAAGCAGAAGAACACCCATCTTTTGACTGGTAGATAGATATCAATGGGAGAATCCAAGCTGGGGTTTCTCCATTCCTGCATATTTTTTTCTGAGTGTCATTGCATTCTTTCTTCTCTTCTGCATATGTCTTTCAATTCTTTCAAATTCATTAACTGATGATCAAGAAATTAAGAGGATGGGTGCCGCATTGAATATGTCAATCAACTGCTATTTGCTCTTTAGGGGAATAGTGGCCTTCAAGGTCACTTGACCTTCCTGAAATGTGCTTGATTTTGGATGATATTTATGGTGTTTTAGGTTCAAATTATTTGGGTTTATTTACCATCTATTATGTTAGAATTGAGAAGATGAATTTATAGATTGCAAAGGTCAGGTATTCTGTTTATTTAGGAACTTTGTATGTGACTTGAGTTTTCAATAAAGTTGGCTTATGCTATTTCATTTTTCCTGTATAAGCATGATGCTTTTCACTTTTTTTGGTTTCCATTGATCCATTCACACTCTGCTTCAATTGAATTGCTGTGGTACTTTGATATCACATTGCTATCTGCACTTTAGTGGAAAATCAATGGTACTAGTTTATAGCTTAGATTAGGCACACCAAATTTCCTTTTGGTATTAACTTCTGCTGCCTTGCTTCTGTCAACAAGTCTATTGAAGTCCATTGCCTTTTCTTTATTATTATTATTACCTTTTTCTTAGTCAAAACCGAAGTATCGTTACCCATCATTAATAGCATACCAGGAGTTGAAGGATTAATCTGGCGTTGCAAGCCTTTCATGTGTCGTTCATAGAGTGGTGTATTCTGGTAAACTGGTAGTCAAAGCATCATACAAGTTAAAGCTGTATAATGAATGTGTTTTCAAATATAAAGACTGGGAAGGGTGTTTTAATTTATAAATTAGATCAGAATTGTATTATCGTTGTTTTCATATATGAGGGTGTGTTAATTTATTCTAATGGTAATATATTGAATGTTGTTTTGGATTCCTCAATGCTCATTCTTATTTGAATTATGTTTCAGCTTCTCTGCATTGTAAAACACTCCTTTTAATCTAATATCATTTTGTCTTTTATTTCTTTCAAAAAAACGTTTCAGTAGAGTTTGCTCTATGTCTCAAATGCAGGAGCTGTTAATTCTTGAGTTTAATATATGGATGGCAAAGCAGAAAATAACGGTATGAAAAAAATAATGTCGCCATGTGATGTTGAAGCTCTGAAAAAATGCCTGGAGGAGAACAAGGGGGACTATGGCAAATGCCAAACGCAAATAGAGGCTTTCAGATCGTCATGCTCATTGAAGAAACCAAACCCATCTCTTGACTCTGCTCCCCCTCTCAAGACAGGTGGTTGATGCTCAATTAACACGGCCTTAAACTTGACTTGTATCTTATGGGGATTTTTCATCCCTTAATAGGGAACGCATCTTGGATTTTCCATTTTTTGGGATGAGAATCAAAACTGAGCCCAATGTTTTTGTTGCAACAAAATTGTAAGTCCAATTATAATGCTATATCTATGCTTTTTGGCAACAAAATTGCCAGTTGGATATTACTTTGATTTTGTTCCCATGAAAATAAAGTTATGACAAAAATTTTTTGGGGGGAAATTTTATGTTTGCAGTGATGAGCTTACAGATAATTGACCTGATTGAACATATTTTTAATTGAATCTTTCAAATCAAGAATCGCATTGAGTTTTGAATAGGTTTCATTGATCACATTCAGGAGGTGCAAGAACTCCAATGCACTCAAGTTTCAAAATCAGATTTATCAAATTTCTCTTCAAAATGTACCTATTCAGAAGCCAACTAAACACAAATCACAAAAGAATGAATGAATGTTGTTTTCTTGGGGCACTACTCATATTCTTATAGATTCATAAATTACATAATCAATCGTCAAAACTTGATTTCTTCAGCACTATGTGGCCATGCTCATCCTTATCAAATAGACGCTCAATCAATTCTTCCCAGCTTTCTAATTTGCTTTTATTAGTTGAACAAGAAGATGACTCAGCCTGCGATTCTCGCGAGCTCTCCCCTTCTTCACCAAAAGTGCCGTACTGTGATGGCAGTGTATCAGCATGAGGCACATCTAGTGTTTTGGCCCTCTGTAATGCTGCTTTGTATTCATCATTGTGTCTAGTTAGTGTCTCCTCCCTCTCCATTGTTTGCTTTGTAGGGATCTTCATGGTTTGATCTTTCTCCTGCATCAACTACAATTTGGAGAAACATAATGGCATTAAGGTTGACTCTTGATCAAATACAGCATGTCCAATGCTCATGAGCATTGATTAAGTGGTACTGGAGGAGTCAGCTCCAGAGTTAAAAGAACCAGAGTTGAAATCCTAGTAGTCTGAGTATATGAATATAACATGCCAAATTAGAGTAACTGGACTCTGATTTTAACAATTAATCTGTAGACACTTAAGTTCTGGACAATTTCAGAACTTTTACAACTCAGCATCGCATTACCAACTTAATAAAAAATGCTCCTCCGCCCCATGTCATGATTATATTGAGATCCTCTACAGTAATGCACTGCATTTAAGAGTGACACAAAAGAAGAAGTGCATAGATTCACTTCTTTTCTTTTCAACTACTCCTTATTTTGGAACAGGGTCCTCTGGTCCTCTGCCGCTAGCAGATGTTAAAATTAAAAAGTTTAAAGTTTAAAATTATTACATGGCTAAAAGATTCACGATGCAGTGTTAAAATGATCTCTAAAGTGTCAGCTATCAACAAAATAATTTACAATAAAAATAAAATAAAATAGAAATAAAAGAAGTAGCCCATCCAGATTTGATCAAGATCAACAGTTGCTGCTGGTGCAGAGAAACCAGGTCCTCATTATTTTCTCTATACCTACAATCGACAATCTACAATCTCCAAATAAGAAGTAATAAAATATTCACCGTGCATTAACTAGCTAAACACAGAGGAGTCAAATCCATCATGATTCTATTAAAGAACTGGACAACAAAAATATATATGCATATGTCTAAATTCTGTTTCAGCTTGACTTTCACATATAAACGGATTAAGCAATAATGAGGCTGAAAAGCTTACATTCAAAGCCCTTTGGGCCTCTCTCTCTATCCAAATGATGGCATGATCAGATGTGGCATTGCAAGAGAGGACAACGTGCTCAAACCTCCCATCTACTGGCACCGCTGTTCTGACAACTGGGGGAAATCTTCCGCCTCTGCAGAAGTAGACGTTCATGTTAAACCAGAACCAAAGGTCCTCTCTTTTTTCTACATGAAGTAACAATATTTTCTAATGGAAGTAAACTGAGAATAAACATTCCATACAATAACATCGCATGCAATTGAGCTTAACTTGGATGTGCTTGCCAGTTAACTAAAAAACCCTCGTCCCACCATGTGGGATCGGCTAAATGCATGTGGCCAGATGTATAACTAATACTTCTGCATAATTTCGGTTTGGTATCCTTAACTCTACCTGAATGGCTTTCTCTCAACAATGTGATAGAGGCGGCCTGGCGCATAGAGTCTCCTAGGATCTTTCAACATCGTCTCTTCAGGTATGCATGTATCCCTCATGCATCTCAAGCACAACAGACATGGCAAACTGCCAACCACAGTAAACAGAGGCTTTCATCAATAAATTATCTGAGCGTAGAAACTCTAAAATTGTGACTTAGCTGTCTTAGTTGTTTTGTTTTCACTATCACTCTACTGTTTGATGCTGTAAATATTTGAGCAATAAAATTCCTCTTTCCATTCCAGAAAGAAACTCTAAAATTGAACCAACAAATAGAACAAGTGTTAAACTAACTTATGACATAACTAATCAAAAATAAAATATTTCAACTGAAAGACAAATGAATTTACTATGATATTAATAAAAGGGAGAAACATTTTTGTCAAGTATGCATAACACTTTACAACAATTTGCCTGAGAGATATCAGGGCAATATCAGTCAGTCAAAAGAGTCATGTTGACCGCGGATGGGAAAGCTAAAGGCCCAAAATATTCTCTCATTGCATAACAAAAATGATGGAAAGGGATATAAAATTATACAGATCCTGAAGATATACCAGAAGAGAGACTTGAATATATCTTCTAGGGGAGTAGCTGTTCTTGGCAAGAAGTCATCCTGAACATGGTAAAGACCAGTTAATCTCATTACCATGAGGAAAGAAACAAAGTAGGATCTAACCTACACACAGCTGCCTCCAGATGAGAATGTTATTTTAAGCATATACATGTTGCAATATAACATTTATATAAAACGGATCACCTACGAGCTGATCAACTTGAACATGTGAAAGCTTCTTCCTTTTTGGTGAAAGAACATATGAAAGATTCAACGCATATGCTTGTGTGGACTGGACAGAAAATCAGAAATAGTTCATTCTTCTTTCTCGAAGACATATATATCACAGGACTTTGCCCGGAAAGAGACTGAATATGACACCTCATGCTGGCTCAGTGGCAAGCTACGCATGCCGCGCAAACCCCCCCCGGGGGGGCCAAGGAAAAAAAAAAAAAAAACCTCCAAAAAGGGTACAACTTCAATGAGACTGCTGGGGTTTTGAAACAAAACAAGACAGCAAAAGTAGTTTTTAGCGTACAACCCACAAATAAAAATGTAAATTTTAGAGAATAGAAATTGTTGTTTTCCAATTATACCCTTATCTCACTACATATACAGATATACTAATGCAACAACTAGCTGGAAATATCTATATCTACGTCTGAAGATATTCCTTTATTATTACTAACAATAAATCTTATCCTACTAAATGAGGTTAGTTACATTCCTTTACCATTGATGACAAAGTAAAATAGAAGCCATTCAAGCATGAAACATACAGTATTTAAATTTCTCTTCCCATTGCAAGTATTCTCCTTTAAATAACATTATAAACGACTATTCATAAAAGCCAGTTTAATGCATACTATTTTCTATTGCCAATTCATCTTTAAATTTCATGTCTGTCATATGCCATAGGATACAAAAATATTATAAAAGATATCCAAGATTCTGCCAAACGAAAAATAAGCTTCTGATAACTTGCCTGAAGAACAACAGAGTTGATAACATCTGCATATCGGACTGCCAGATTCAGTGACATACACCTAGCAGGTGCAATAGCATAGCCCCTGACCCTCCTCCTCTCAATATTTCCAACTCTATCACGGTTCTGCACCACCAATATCGTCAACATTGACGCTACTCCTGATCCTAGGGAATGACCAGCAAAAGTCAGAGTGTAATTTGGATGTTTCTCTACCAACTCCCTCAAAACTTCACATTCAGCATCCAAAACCCATCCCGCTGCCTTCAGCAGCCCATTGTGAACATAGCCCCCATCAAACTTCCTCTTACCCAAACTATTATCCAATAAAACTGCATAGTCACTCTCCTTTGCCAAATTTAAACCCCTGATAGCAAGAACTATATCAGCATGATCATGATCAAGATACAATAAATAGGGAGGTGCCCGCCCTAGTGTATCTTCATATGTCTTCCTGAGTATTAACCAATCAGGATTAATTCCATAGCCACCAGGAGGTGCCCAAACGGGGTGCCGAATATCATCTTCATAGACAGCAAGAATATAGCGACAAAGGCGAGTAACAGGTTCGAATTCTTCAACTGTGGCAAGGCCCCAGGTCTCACTATCATGGCCTGCAGTATGAAGACATCTTTTCCAAGCCCAGCGAGCACATGCCAGGCAATACACACACTCGACAAGAGGCACGCCACACAGAATCGACATTGCTTTTATATTAATGGGAAACTTCTTGTACAGAAATTGAAAAAAATAAAAAGGTTATTCCAATGGTACAAAATTGTTCAATATCTTCAAGCAAGATATCAAAGAAAATATTTTTGTTTCACACAATGCAAATAATATACTGCTCTATGGTTGAGAAATTAGAACCGAAGTGAGGAGTCAACTGAGTAGATGGGTTCTGGTAATCCAAAACCAGGTAAATTTTGCTCGATGACCAATAACAGAGAAGGACAGTTGATGCCTCAACCAATGTGATATGAAGAAGACTATACAGAATTCAGCAGATTTACACCTCAAAGGGGTTGCCAAAAATGGACAACTTGAAGAATCCAGTAAACTCGCAAAAATTTGCATATGAGTTGACATTAAAGTTGTTAAGAAACAAGAACTTCTTGGACAACAAGGAATATTATGCTTGGCCACTGCGAAGCCTCATTCAAAGATACTAAACTCATCACCGACTATACAAATACATTAGGTACGAGCAAGAAACAACGGCCAAACGGGAAAGGAAAAAAGAGAACTCAGGAACCAATTCCAGCGTTGATCGTTGAACTTTAGAACTGAACATCAAATTCTCCGAGCAAACAAGGAGAAAATTTGACTTTAATTGTCACCGGACTACAACCCAGAAGAGCTTCTGATACATGAAGACGAACCGAGCCAGTTTGACTCGTGACATAGCTGCACCATATTCATTAAAGAAATCGAATTAGAAGAAGAGGGGGGGAAATATTGAATATATAAAGCGAAAGGCTTCACCTGTCAGTCAAACTCAAAGGTCGTACCCGAAGTTTTCGGGTTTCGGGGGGTTCTTCATAGTTGAATGGAAGGAGAAGGAGATGAGCCGATGAATGGTAAGAGAGTAAATTAGCGTGGACTCCAATGGCACTTTATCACTGAGAAGAATTGGGACATTTGGAGATCAATTTGTCCATATCATAGAAACATACGACGATGACCCACTTGCCGTTCTGTTAATGGCTGGAGAGATTGTGCCAGTACATATTTTAAAAACCATTTCTGTTCTATTAAAAAAAAACATTTATGTTGGCTCGTTTGATTTAAACTTAAAATTAAACAATAGTTGAATGAAAACTAAATTCCATTCTACTAACAAAAAAATTAAATTCCATTCCAACCATATCAATCAGTATCATTACCATAAAATATAAACAAAATTCACTATTCATTCATATTTTTTATTTCAAAGATATATATAATTATAAGATCAATTACCTAATCATTTGAGTTGATTTTTTTGGATAATTAAAAAATTCCAGCAAACTAATTATCATTGTCATATCTATAATATCTAACTCATCTACTATAATGAAATTGGTTAACAAAAATTCACTTCAATAAATCATCTACTTTCAGTTTTTTTAATGCAATTTCAAAAGTTTTTATTACTATTACTAGTTAGAATAAAATACAAGCATTGCTTTGTGTAATTGGTGTGTATTCATCTCAATGACAATATAAACATAAAAGAAATATGGTTTTCTTATATGTCACTTAAAAAGTTGACCTCCAGGTCATTTTTAAATAGATCTAACAGAAGATCTAGATTTTCCAATCTTTTTTTTAGACCATGATCTTTTGTTAGTTAATTATAACTATTTTGAACCTTGAAATTTAATTTAGAAATGTGTATATCTAAATATATATGCCTATAGCAATGTATAATATAAACTTTCTAATATCAAATGTAATTCTCTTTTTTGGCCTTTTCTTTTAATTTTTTGTGCGAGTCAAACTTTTCACCAATCTTTTTCATATCTTTAGCACTTCTGTTCTGTATTTTTAGTACTCATCTTTAATATTTTGAATAGTCAGTTTTTCATTTTTTTTTTTTTAGCAATCACCTTAAATATTTTCTAGATTTTGGAGGTGAAACAGGTGCCTCAATTGACAATTAAGGTGCAATAATCACTGGTCATTCTAATGTTGAAGTTAATATACTTCTCCAGTCCTAAATATAAGACCCATTTTATAATATAATTGACATGACAAAATAAATCTTATATTTAGAGCCGGAGCATTATATTATAGCTTTAAACCGATACCAATGATTTTCATATATAAGAAGTAGAAAGAACTTATGGCTCACATTAATCACTAATATCATTGTTCAAGCCTAAGAGCAAGATGGGTGCAATAATCACTAACCAACTCAAACATTGTGATATTTATAGTTTTTCTTAATAGAAGTAAGATTATATAGGGCCCGTTTGGAATAACTTATAAGTAATTTTTTAATCGTGATTTACGGAATACGAAATAAATATATGAGAAAAATTTTGTCTCAATTTACACAAAATGTGCTTATATGTGATTTTAATCGTGATGACAAATAGGATTATAATAGTTTAAAACTCGGAACTCGGAAGAGATGCTATATGAATATGTGTGTATACCAAGCCCATTAATTACATGCCACAAAGATAGTCAACACGCGCATTTTAAGCGCCAAGCAAAACAAATGCTTTGACTCGTAACCATTTCACACTCACCATGGAAGCTGACATAACACGCGCGTTTTAAGCGCCAAGCAAAACAAATGCTTTGACTCGTAACCATTTCACACTCACCATGGAAGCTGACATATTAAGTACTCATCTTGTTATATTTATACAACAGAGATAAGATATTTTTTTTAGAGCTATTTATAAGGTATTAAAAGAAATTTTTTATATAAATACTCCTCCGGTCCTTAATATAGGACCCATTTAACTAATTTGATTAGATTAAGGAAGTTAGGTAAGTTAGTTAATTATAAAAATTGTGACACGTTTTTCCTAAAATACCATAATCATCTTTCTTAATACCCCTCTCTATCTTCTACTTGATTATGGTTGATAGAGTATCCATAGGGGCAATTTAGAGAAAATTAATAAATATGAGAAATGGGTCTTATATTTAGGACCAAAATCAACTTAGCAATTGGGTCCTATATTAAGGACTGGAGGAGTATATAATTTTACTTTTTATTTATTATTATGTTAACTTTATTTGCATGAGGTATAATGTATATTAAACAAAGATAAAGTTAGAAAGTTGTTCAATTTTAAATGAGAGTTAATAAAATTTAAGGTTTTCGTAATCTGTGTAAAATATGTTGGAAGTGACTTATAAATAGGACCAGAAGAGTACTACCTCGCTCTTTACTAGAAGAGTTAATTTAATATTTAATTTAGTCCTAAATATAAAACATCAATCTATTTTATATCTCTCTTAATTTAATATTTAATTTAGTCCTAAATATAAAGCATTAATCAACTTTATCTCTCTTATTTCTCTGATTCTATTTATAAGTCACTTTCAATATGTTTCATACAGATCAAGAAAAATCTTAAATTTTATTAACTCTCATTTAAAATTTAACAATTTTTTTAATTTTATCTCCATTTAATATATATTATAGCTAATGTAAACAAAGACAATACAGTAATAAATGAAGGGTAAAATTGTATCTTCATAAAAAAATTCTCTCAGTGCCCTATAAATAAGACTAGAGGATTATTTATCTTTTTTTTTTTTTATAGTAATCATTATAGTAATTGTACATGTTAAATATTTTATCATATAGTAGTTCTAACTGATCTACATGATTAGCAATAATATTTTAAGAAAGACAACGTATATTTATTATAACTAACTAACTTAACTAATTTTCTTAATGTACTCAAATTAGTTAATTAACTTTTATATTAAGAACCGGGCAGATAGTATATGAAATTTAACACGTTAAGTAGAAAATGTGAAAGTGATATCTTGAAAACAAAGGTTGGTTAATGAATTAAGCAACACGATTAATGTTTAATGCGTTATTATATCTCCAAAGTGTTACAGGTACTGAAGGTGAAAATTACTCATCAAGGGTTGCGTTTATGTTGGAATAGAGGGTGTAGAAACATAACAGTCTGCAGCGATTGTGTAGAAGCCTTGTCTTTGGTTTGTAGAAGTTGTAAAAGCAGCTATTCTTTTAAGAACATAGTTGATGATGTTAGGCTTATGATTCATAAGGAGTGGATGGTTATACCGATACATTCTCCTGGGGAATCTATTCCTATTGCTAATCACCTAGCAAAACTTTCTCATCATATGAAGGGTAATTTTCGTATCCTATATCAACCTCCTCTTTTGGATGAAGGGCAGGTTGATACAGAAAACTAAGTCTTGATATTTTTTGCTTTCATGTAAGTACTTGTTCTGAGGTTTTTATTCAGAAAAAAAAAAAACCCATCAAGCAGAGCAAATAATGCATTAAGTGCAAGGTAAGGTTCAAAAACAAGTTTTGCCGGTTAAAAGCTTGTTAGAATGTCATTGAGGACAAAATATTAATACCATTTTGGTTCTTAATATAAGTTACTTGTAACACATTCTCATAGGTAAAGGAATGCATTCAATTAACAAAATTTTTAAATTTTGCCCTTATTAAAGTTTTATCTCTCTTTTTACATTTACAAGTTATTCTCATTTTTTTCTTCTTTTTTTTTTCTAATGATAATTAAATAAGGATAAAATTTGAAAACAAGTATTAAATATGTTACAAATGACTTTCATTTAGGATCAAAATTTCTCTCGACAAGTAATTTGCATATATAGGACCGGAGTGGGACGTTAAAGTAGAAATGCTAAGGATAAGATTGAACAAATGAAGCTCATTAACACGTTAAGTAATTTTAGAGGCAAGCTTGAAACATAATGAAAACTTGAGTAATGCACTGCGTAGGTAGATTAACAGATAAAAAGTGTCTCCACAAGGCTAGACTTAGATGATAAGTTCACTAACATGTTCAAACCAATTGGCTTTACTTGGCATGAAGCTTTAAGAATGAAATGTAAGGACTGTAATTGAAATTGGAAAAAAAAAACTTATTAAAAAAGTGTTTAATAGAAGGAATTATTTGTTATTTGGGACTAGGTATATGCATATAAGTAAGATTGGAAAATGTCTTGCGAGGAGATGGAAACACTGTAGAGAGAAGGACTTGTTTCAACTTATTAAGTGGATGACTTGACATGTTGAGTAGAGTTTCAAAAATGTGAGACAAGTTTTTAACAAAGTAGTGTATTTGTTAGGACTGTAGTCAATGCGTTAAGCTTTTTCTAAAATGTGAAAAATGACTCGAACCATGGATAACACATCATGTGTAAGGCTTATATATATTTGTGTGTGTAAGTGTGTGTATATTATTTTCATTTTTTATAGTTCTATTTCTTTATATATGTCAAATATTTATATAGGTTTGATAAAACAAAAAAGAATATAGTTTTTTTTAAACACTAGAGCATCCCCACTCAAATAGTAAGAGACTAATCTCTCGAAACTTATAAGGACTCAATTATGAGGGCTACCCTCCCAAACACACCAATGAGCATTGGAAAAAAAAAATAGTTTTATCCTGAACAATTATCATCAATAGCTTAATTTTTCAAATTTTAAAATTTGTGATTTGCTTATTAAAATGTCAGATAAATTTATTTGATAAGCTATATTTCAATTTTTATCGATTACATATATTTCATTTTTTTACTAATTAATAGTAATATTTATTTTAAACTATTTATTTTTAGTTTAGTTTGATAAAAAAATTGCTAGTTTTGAAAGTTGTGGATTGAGAATATTAAAATGGAAGGATTTGTACATTTTTATTTTATAATATTGTAAAATAAAAGACAAATGTATTTTTATTATAAAATAAAAACCTAAAATAAAAATAAAAATAAATTTATTGAATACTTACTTTTTATCAATCAATTGAATGGATTATAGTTGTTGGCAAAAAAAAAATTCAATGGATTGTAGTTGATATTTTTAAATAAAAATTAATAAATATGAATTTAAAACATTTATTTTTGGTAAATAAAAAAAATATTTTCCATTTTATCAAATAAGAGGCTCCCTCCGAGAAATTGACCATTAATGCTATTTGGGCCGGATACAATGGGCCATTGCCGAACCGAAATATTCAACCCACTTTTTTCCACGGCCGGTTTGTGAATCCCCGTTTCCCGGACCTGCGGCTTCACTATAAAACTAATCAGAAACATAAACCCTAGTTCTTTCATCTCCAGCCTCAGAGGCAGATCAAGGTAGGTACGCTGCGGTCGGTTTCTCCTATTTCTGATTGATGCTTAATATGTGCCCTTCCTATATATGTCTTGCTTGTCTTAGTCCTTGTTGTTTTCATTTTACCATGCTGCTTCGAGGCAATTTCTTAGGATTAGTTTAACTATTGCTGTGGGTAGGTGCTTTCAAAGCTGGTTTCCGTTTTGCCCTGTCCTCTTACGTTCTTATTTCAACAAGAAAATGTGCATTGTCCTAAACTAAACGCGTTTTTATTTTTAAAGGCAATGGCTCCGAAACAGCCGAGTACGGGTTTATTTGTTGGATTGAACAAGGGTCACGTTGTGACCAAGAAGGAATTGGCTCCACGCCCGTCAGATCGCAAAGGGGTAAGTTGACTTCGTATGGCACTAATGTTTAAAGCAATCGCAGCCCATCACATTTTAATTTTTAGAACGATGATTAGGTACACTATACGACCAAATATTAAAGATGTTTAGGTTTTGGTGGTTTTTATAGTGTGATTGAATAATTTTTTTGGATTAAATTTTCATTCTAGTTGATGAAGCAGCTCATTGGGTTTTTTGGATTAATTTTTGTAATGCCCACAGTAGTGCTCCGAAATTGGAGTATTCAAAATATTGATAGTAATTAACAATATCTGTATTGTTACAATTTATTAAATTTCAACATGCTAGTTCATTTCTTTTCAACCCTTCAGAAAATGCTTTATTTTATCCTTCCATGGATCTGCTTTAAGGAAATTTGAGTACTGAGGATGCTGGTGTTCCTTCAACTAGTTTTTTTATCTCGCCAAATCCTAATACAGTTGCTGCCACCATCCATTAAACGTATAGATGGAACAAATCATTATTAGTGCCAAATCCTTTTATCATTCTAACTGGATGAAAGGGTTTCTAATCAGTTGAAAACGTTGATTATGTTCTCTTGCTTTCACTTGGGGCTCACAATTATTTTGATCGAAACAGAAAACCAGCAAGAGGGTACACTTTGTAAGGAGTATTATCCGTGAAGTTGTTGGCTTTGCTCCCTATGAGAAGAGGATTACAGAGCTTTTGAAGGTTGGTAAGGATAAGAGAGCATTGAAAGTGGCAAAGAGAAGGTTGGGTACCCACAAGAGAGCTAAGAAGAAGCGTGAGGAGATGTCAAACGTGCTCCGAAAGATGAGGTTGGCTATGTTCTTGTCTTGATGTTATCTCTAATCTTGCTGTGTACCAGATGATATTTTTGCTTCCTGTTGATAGATCTGTTGATATTGACTACTGTTTTTTTGTCCCCACCCTTTTGCAGGGCTGGTGGAGCCGGTGACAAGAAGAAGTGAGACCTGCGTCCTCCAGTACTAAATTCACTAGAATGTGTCATTTCAGTTCTTGTAGTTGCCCGCGGGTATTGTTTAATTCATTGTCGTAATGCGAGACTTGTTTTAGAAATTTTGGTTTTTAGCTCGAGACATGAGAAATGGAGGTTACCATAGTAATGTTTTTTCTTGAAGTCTTAGCGTATACTGCATCACCATTTTTTAACATCTGAATGTTGCCATTGGTGTCTCTGCCTGATGATGAGTTAAATCAACTTAATCCTTTCACATGCATATATGTTGATGATGCTTCCTAACTGGGGACGTTCCTGATTAGGTCATGTTCGTTGTGCGTACATGGCTAGATGCTAACGACATCTTTGCCAATTAACTTTTGTTCAGAGCTTAAAAATTTTGTTAACTGAAGTAGGGGTTTTGTTGACCTTCAAAATTGGAGGTTTGTAGATAGAGTTTATGAAATTGAATTGATTTTAAAAGTCTTTAAATATACTGAGTTTCCTTTCTTCTCATGAAACGTGTATCTCTCCTATTTTTTCATTCTCCACCCCTTTCAAAGCTCCAATCATTGCGTTCAATTTAGAAGTATTTGATTGAAGAAATCAATTTTTTCCCAAAAATTATATGATGTCTGATTACGTACTACATTAAGTGAAGCTTTTAACATTTCTATGGTGGAAGTTGACATTTTGGGAGATACGAATTGTAATATGACTATTTATTTTCGAACCAAAACAATAAATTCATTTGATAAACGTATAATAATTTACGATTATGGTTGGCTCGTCTCTTTCTTTATAAATCAAGATAAGGAATCATTAAAATTTCTAACCCTTTGTACTAGTCATTAGCATCCTTCGCATTCCTTTCATTCAACCAAAAACACCGCATCCCTCCTATTGCCTCCATACAACGAAACACACCATCGGTGAGAGTATAAGCGTTATAATCTTTTTCCTTTGCCAATAATTAAGAAAATGGAGCTCTTTTTTCTTTTTAAATAAAAATAATAATGGGCAAGTTCAAAAACATGAAAGGTACAAAACAAAATAGAAACGGCATTCATCCAGGACGTGGGCACTGGGCTTTGCATGACAATCATGTCTAAGGTGACGAGCTCCTTTAGCCAGATAGTCTGCGAAGTGTTTTCCGTGGTGCATATCTGATTTCAACGTGCATTCTAAATACTATCTTCTAGTTTTAATATAAGAATTATATAACTAATTCATAAATATTAAAAAAATTACTTAAACTATTTATTTGTAATAAATGTTTTCTTTCTTAAAATATTCTTCTTGTTTTTTTTTTTGGCCAATCATGTGCATTAAAACTACTCTTTAATAGAAACATTTTATGAAAACTACTTTGGGGGGAAAAAAATATAGGACACGAAGTGAACTGAAGTCTTATACTACTTCCGATCCTAAATATAAGAGTTAATTAATCAATTTGAGCATATTAAGAAAATAAATTAAATTAGTTATTTGTAATAAATAATTTTTTTTTAAAACATCCTTATTAATCAATTGTATTGGCTAGAATTATCATTATTAGAGGGACTATTTTGAAAAAGATGAATAAATATGAGAGTTAAAATAAATTGGGATCTTATATTTAGAACCAAAATAAAAATCAAACGAGATCTTATATTAATAACCGAAAGTAGTATTTAAGATCAAATTAAATATCTAATAATTTTTATATTAAAAGCCTGAGGTAATATACCTCTTGCCGCATTTATCTCTACTCTTAATGGATAATTAGATCCTCCATCTATCATCATCAGTTGGATGGTTTCCAATGAATTAGTATATATGACTCAGCACCTTACTAAAAACATCCTGCTTACATAGTTGGAGGCCAGTCAAAAGGGCAAGAAAACCTGTACGAATTGACTGAGTAAAAGCCAGCTTCTTTTGAAATCCCCGGAGCCATTCCCAAATTGGAGTTCCCCAACTGAAGTTGGATTGACAAAAAATCTAGTAGTCTATTAACCACAAGTACTCACAACCTTGTTTAAGATAAGGTTCGCCTTCATTATTAAGATAAGGTTTGGGGTTTATTATGCAACTTTCGACTAGTATTCTTTACATGGTAAAGATTTTGTTACAGAAAATCCCCAGTGACATGAGCTCCCGAGCGGAACCAATATAGACACTGCTAAAAATACAGGAGATTATTGTTACACTTAATTTCCCACTACCCTCAATTATACAAAACATCACAAGAATTTGAGAAAACTTCCCAGCGACAGTTTGAACTGTCAATTTTCCCGTGGACATGTCTGGTACACAATAAGGCATACCAACCATCGACTGAGTAGATTAAAGGTACATCATTGGCTTACTGCTAACAACTCTGTTATTGTAAGAGAAAAAGAAAGATTATGTCTTAAACTTTTGGGTGAGCTTCTCAACCCCCTCCCTACAATCTCCAGCAACTCGCTTGGCCCCTTCTTTGACTGAGAATCCAAATTCGACAGCACTTTGCCGCAACTCGTGCGCTGACTTAGCTGCCTTGGCAACAGCAACTTCTCCGAATTCTTCAGCCTGTTTTCCAGTTTTGGATGCCCATTGCTTCAAGTTAGATATGAAATGAGAAATCACGTGGACAATCCTGTCAATCACATCTCTAGATCTCCCTCCAACATCTGCTGCCATTCTTTTAAGTTTACCCAGTAAGTTCTCAGCCCTGAGAACTGTTTCTTGAACTGGAAACTGCTTCCCTGCATTGAGCCACGTAACTTCAGCAGAGGCCTCCTTGCGGAGGTCATCATCAACAACCACTTTGATGCCGTGCCTCTCCCAACGTTCTCGAGCTTCTTCCAAGGCTCTAGCATGTTCTCTTACCCGTTTAGCCTCATCCTCCGCCCAAGTCCTAGACACATGATTACCATGCTTCAATCAAAAAGAGGCATAATGATGTCTCTATGTTTAGGTTAACAGGAATCAGAATTACATAATACGCCAAATGCACAAGTAGAATTGCTCTATTTTGCATTCCAAATCAGTTTAAACTTTACAGTCTTGACAAGCAACAGTGAGGGAGAATAAAAATGTTAAGCACTAATCGAATTGATTTTAACATTCAACATCAACAAACATCTGCAATTCCCTTTTCCTTGAAAAATCACTTAAATTTGAAGAAACATATTACGAGACATGGAACTTTGAGTTCATATGGTAAGAAACCAAAAGCATTTACAAGTAACTGGACAATTGATCTCCAGACACTTCAGCTGTAAGGAATGTGACAGGAAAACTTTGCAGTAAATTTGCAAAACATTTTTCAGCAGAGTGGAAGCAAAGTTTCACAAGCAGGCTTCTTACATTATCTTTGCGTTTAAAATTTGCATGAATCGAACCAAAATTGAACCAGTGAATGCTGACCAAACGTAATTTAATTGCCCTTAGTCCCACAAGTTTACCTGGCCATGGACAAGGCTTTCCGTTCTACCTCTAGTTCATATTGTAAGCGGGCAATTTCCTTGTTTTCAACTTCTGCTTGCTCCCGAAGCTTGATAACCCTTTCTTTTTCACGAGTTATTTCTACCTTGTCATTCATAAGGCTCTGTAATTGATCCTCAACCTCATGTCTTAGCTTTGAGTAAACCTCCATTTCTGATTCAATAGCAGTGCGCTCCTTCATCAAGGCAATATTTTCTTCTTCTCTCTCAGCTCTTAACCTTTCCAACTCTCGTGTTGCCTCTTCAGCCATTCTTTCAACAGCATTAATCTTCTCCCTCTCAATGGAAAGCTCCTGTTCAAAACTTGCATTGATATCCTTCTCAACTTGAGCGACTAAAGCACTATGTGCTGCAACAGCATTTTCAGCCATAGATTCTGCTTCAATTCGAGCAAGCTCTTCACCAACAATGTCAGAAGCATCTCCCGTTGAAAGAGCAACAGCTGCCTGGGCTTTTGTTACTGGCTTATCTGGCTGGAACAGTCGTGTATAACCTGGAACATGCACCACCAAAAAATGAAAAGAAACAAAGAAACAAACCAAAAGCTGGTAAGAAACTGCCTACAAAGAAAGTACAAAAAGGGGGGAAAAAATTCACTAAAATAAGCAAAACAATCATTACAAACCATATGGTGGAACATTTTAAAAGAGACTATAGAAGGAAAAAATGACACACCAAATGCAAGAGCTATTATTCCTTGCTCCCCAGCAGATATGTCAGATACAAGCGCAGGGCATGCATCAAGGTGTATCCTGTCAGTGTCTATAAAGCCAGAAATTTGGTATAGTGTCTGCCCCTCAGTCCATGGAATTGATGCAAACTAATTCATCAGTTACATGATAACTAGAATAAAAGAATAGCCTATATGTGAGACCAGTCAATAAAATAGCAAACCTTTCTGTCAGCTTCAGGAAGTTGTCTCTTGTCTAAGGCCCTTTTCCAGCTAACAAGATCCTGGCGTGATAATGGGCTACATAAAAGAACAAGGGAAACACAAAACCTTAAGGTCAGATTTAAACATGAAAACACATCTGAAACAGAAGAGAAGACACCATTTGTGACAAAATAGGAAGAAATATTATGAGTAACAGTTAAATTTTGAGAAAAATTATAAGGACATCTTAGATAATTGCATTGCTCTAAAAGAAAAAGATAACCATAAATCAGAATCCGAGTTTACTAAGTATACCTTTCAGGCGAGAAGCAAAATGGCCTCTGGCCTTCCTCTGCAAACAGCTGTGTATCAGATCTTGAAAGCCTGCTTTCAATCAGTCCGGCTTCTGCCAAGCCTGAAACATCATAATGTTTAGACATAATAAACTAGAAGAAAGTCATTTCTAGTGATAAGTTATGCTGTTTAAACATCAGTTACAGTAATCAACTCTCACCTTGTATGGAAGAAAAATCAGGGTCTTCAGGAGTGATGTCATCAAAAGCAAGCTCAGTAACATTCTCTATATACATAGCAGGATAGACTTTTGAAATTGTACTCCTAAACATAACAAAAAAGACGCATTTATAGCTACAATACGCACACTCCGAAAAATAATTAGCCGAGTCCATTTCTTGCTATTCAAATGTTAAAGTTGTAGCATCAACAAACAAAAGAATTACCTTGAAAGAGCACTGCTAGCAGAGACCAACCAACGAGCATATTCACGACGGGTGCATATTTCATTGGGCTGAACATCAGGTTCAATGACCTGTAGGTTTAGTCATTTTAAGTAAACAAACATAAAATTTTGTCATCTTACTATGATTATACCAATGTTTTAAAAACTAGACCGGATATCAAACTGAAAATGCCAGC